GTGAGGTCACACGACTGATCGCGTGCGCGTGGGTTTATCTTTAGTTCATAGTATCATGATGCGTACCTACATAATAGGTTGTCATGCTTTTTAGTTGTCAAACTATGAAACTATTGACGTTTGTTAAAATAATTTAAATTGTAAAAGATCAAAATAATATAGTACTGATCAATTCTATAATATAATATTAAATAATAATTCATCTAGTATAGATGAATTCAGTGAATCCAATAATAGTGTAGTTCTGTCAGATGAAGACACGGGTTTATTATAAAGTACAGATAATAATATGATTCCAATGAGAGATTTAAAAAATGAATTCAAAATTATATCATAACTTCATTTGTATACATGTTTTGAAATGTTTATTTCTAATACCAACCAAAATTTTGGGTTATTAATTAGAAGATGTTCCAGGGACTGATCTTCCATATGATTTTTTTTGCCTTCTTGAGGAGGATATTTTTTTGAGATGGTAGTGTAGGAAACAAATGTTTATGCCGAATCGTTAACTTTATCCAGTGTTGCACAATATTTACGTATAAATCAATGGAAACCTGTGTCTGTTAACGAACTTTTTTGGACTTACATTGCATATGGGAACATGGAAAACCAATAGAATCCAGGACTACTGGAATACCGATCCTCTTTTCACTTGAAATGTTTTCATAATAATATAAGCCAAGATCGTTGCTTGCTTATTTTGAGATGTCTACATTTTGCCAGAAACCCAGAATAAGAAAACGTCACAAATACGGACCTAAATGGTATGTTTTGGCAGAATCCAACGGCTTAGCGCTTTGTATGACATTATACAACAGGACGTTATGACTCTGCAGGTGGAAAGGCCACTCTGAAAAAGTAGTTTTAGAACTAATGCGAGATAAACTTAACGTTGGGCATTCTCTTTTTATAGATAATTTTTATGAAAGTGTTGATTTAGCAAAAACAATTTTACAAAACAATACCTTTTTCACAGGAACTTTTATTTCCAAGAGAAAAGGTAGAGGAAGTGGTCCGAATATGAGCCCCCCATTTGTTTTTTTTGTATAAATTTTTGAAAGTTACGAATAAATATCCAGTAAATTACACACTACAAGCTTAAAGGTTTACCTTATGGTATATTAAAAAGGCATTATCAAAAAAATTAAATTTAGGTGGAATTTGTGTCAACACTTAAATTATGTACAGATCTACTTTTGGATTAGACTGCGTGGAATATGGGCCCCCTAGTAAAATAATTGATAGGTATCTAACAATTTGAAAAAACATATATTTTTCAAATAAAAAAAACTGAAAATGAAAATGAAAATACATTTCAACTTAAAAACCACATATTACACGCAAAAGTCACAAATATATGCATCTTTTTCGGCACCTGAACATTGTTCGTGAGCCCATTGATTGCACATGAAGCATTGAATCCATAACTCTCCTCTCTGGTCATCGGAAAAGCGACCATCACAAAATAGGCATACTGCATCACAGCCGTCAGGAACAGATTTGCCAATTTCGTCGATATCCATATCTTCATCGTCTGGGACAAACTCGTGACTTTCATCCTCAGAGTCGCTGACTTTATTGTCTTTTGCTTGCTGTCTTTTTTTGTTAGTTGTCTTCTTTGCTTTTGATTTTGAAAAGACTTGTCGTTTGGTGCTTGCTTTCTTAGGCGTGTTGGTGCAGGATTTCTCTAACTCATCCTTGTAGGGGGAAGAGGTGATCACTTGCGATTTAGTTGATTTTCTTCCCCGAGTGGTATTTTTCTTTGTGACGGAAGGTACAGGTGAAATGTCAAATGGTGAGACCAATTTAACGGAATTTTCCATTCCTGGAACAGATGGTCTAGAGAAATTGGAATTTGACGGCGAAGATGTTGCCTGTGATTGTAATTTAGCTGTATCTTCCCAAAAAGAACATCCTGGCTGAGGTTCTGGGGTACCATGCTGGGGTTCTGTTGTGACAGGCCGCGCTTGAGGCGAGGCTTGAGACAAAATGTTGCAGTTTTTCTCAGCCTGAATTCGTTCAGATATAAAATCTGCTTCAGAAAAAATGTGACGGTTGAACGGATATATTCCCGTCGCCCTAAAACCACTAGCAGCTATTTCGGCACACTGTGATTTTAAAAAGGCTTTACCTAAAAGTTCTGCCAAGTCAAACTGTGTGAGGGCTCGTTGGTTAACACGAAGCCAATTTCTAATTTCCTCACTGTAATAAGCCTTGAAACTTCCCATGAATGTTTTATCAAGGGGTTGTAATTTATGAGTTGAGTGAGGCGGCAAAGAGATAATGGAAATATGATTTTCACGAGCTAGTCGAATAACTTCTAAGTTTCGTGTGTGGCTATAATGGCCATCTAACACTAGCAGAACTGGACATTCTTTTGTTGGTTTAACAAAATTTATGAAATGCCTCATCCAATCGGAAAACAAATTCTGTTGCACCCACCCACTTGGATGTACTGCGTAGATTGAACCTGGAGGAGCCCCTCGCATCAGCTGTTCGTTGCGATTTTTTCTCGGGAAAATTAACATGGGCGGTACAAATTGACCTCCAGCGCTCATTGCAGCTATAAACGTAACTAGTGAACCCCGTTCGGCTGAGGTAATTGAAGCAATTTGCCGTTTTCCTTTTCTTCCCACCACTGATGCCACCTTACTTTGAACAACTGTAAGCCCAGTCTCATCTACATTGTAAATTTGGTGAGGCGAAAATTTATTTTTTGAGTATTCACTCTGCAAATTGTCAAAAAATTGCTCCACATTTTCCTTATTGAAGCCTAATGCTCTAGCGAAGGAAGTTCCTGTTGGTCTTCGAATAGAAAGTACATTTTTGTGACGTAGTAAAAATGCATCCAACCAGCTTCTCCCCGCCACACCATTTTTAAATGGATGAGCTATTCCATTACGAACAGCTAAGACATATGCCATTTTTCTAATGTCCTTTCTTGTGAGACCATAGTAAGTAGCTTCCATGGACAAAACATATTGGACAAGTTCTTCCTCCAGTTCTTTTCCTAATGTTGTCTTTCTTCCTAGTTGAGTTTTAACTACGTCACTAATATTTAAATTACCTTCCTTTTGTTTTTTTAACAGTCTTTGAAGTGTAGATCGTGGCACGCTGAACTGTTTGCTTGCAGTTTTAAGACCCATTATTTTGTTATTAACACTGTCCATAGCCTTAACCATATCTTCACGTCTCCATGTTTGTCTTAAGTTCTTTGAAAAAAACTTCGGTTTGCTTCGTGGCATAATGAACTGCAAAAAAAACACTTTATTAAGACTTGGTCCGAATATGAGCTCTGTCCCATAATAGGACCACGGTAGGGGCCCATATTAACAACATTCCACCTGATTATTTAAAAGCATTCAATTTCTTCTCAATTCATTATTAGGTTAGTTTTTATGATGGAATATCAAATACTGATCACTTTTCTAACATACTAACACATCAACTCTCCAGTTTCAAACATAAACGTTGATAAATAGCACAAAAACACTTACCGTAAAATATTTGTTGAACTACACAAATAAACTTATGTCACCTGTTAGTACAGAGATATACACGAGACTGCGTGCATAAACAGAAAAATGTTTGGGGGTCTAGTAGAAGTATTTTAGTACGAAATTCATAGATGTCGCGACGTGCTCTAGTTGAAATATATTGGGGGCCCATAATAAGTGCAGGGCTCATATTCGGACCACTTCCTCTAACCCTAAAAAAGTTTTAGAAGCTAAACTAGCACAAGACTCGAAACTGAAAACAAAAGAAACCAAATAAAAATAAAACCCCTACCTATATCGAAATATAATGAGTTTATGAGTGGTGTTGATCGCAGAGATCAAAAATATGCTCGCTTATTATCCATGTGAACAAAATACGCTCAGATGGTATAAAAAATAGGTATTCACATATTTCAAGTATTGTTATTAAATTCCTATTATTTGTACAAAAGTTATATTTCATACACTGATAGAAAAATGAATTTATATGAATATCGTTTAGAAATTATCACTATCAGACATCTTTTAAAAATTCTGAAATAGTCTTAGATTCCAGCATACAAAGCATACAAATTACACAGATTCTTATTCCAGCATACAAAGAACAAGAAATAACAGACAAGCACATTTCAAAAATTTTAAATATTGATAGTAAAGGTCGGATAGAGAGAAAAATATGTAAGGTTCAATGTTCAAAGAATAATTTAAGAAAAGACACTATATTTGAGCGCAGCTTTTGTCCTAAAAAACTGGCCTTTGCGTTAGAAATTATTTTGTACAGTAATGATAATAATTTGAAATTATTACTATTATTATTGTAATATGTTTTCTATTAAAATTTCTATTAAAATTTCTAGTAAATGTTTCTTTTGACAATAACGACTTTCTGCAATTTAAAAATCAAGCGTATGGATGCAACATTAATGATATAAATAAATAAATTAAAGTTAGAACGATTTAGAAAAAAAAATACTCTCAGCACCTATCAATAGCATATCGTTAGGCTTTAAACATGCGACGTGTTAAACGTTTCTCGTAATTTTCCATATGCTGTAAACACGTAGAAAGAAGATTTGATTGATAATGACAATAGATAGTTAATTATTAACGTAATTATTATTGAATTAATAATAATTGACGATTTAGAACGTGAAGGTGTGAACACCTTCATATACGTAGACTCGCTGTTGACTAAAGGATAACAAAGTCATCAAGAAGAATAGTACTTGCCAATATTGCCAATAAGAAAATTGGTATAAGAATAAAATATACACAACTTGACAAATATAACAACATGAAGTTCATATTTACAGAGTACGGGAATAATTGATTAGCGAATAGTATTAAATTTCAGTACTGCTTGGAAATCTTTCACATGAAAGATCTACATGAGTTTTATCTCATTTATAAGGACACAGAAGCAAGGCACATCGATATACGCTTATTTAATTTAATGTTTTTTTTTGTTTGTTGTCTATTAATTTGTTTATTTTATTACAGGTTAGTCGATATGCTAGAAATAGTTTTGGTTGTGACCGCCTTGGCGGTCATAATGTATTATTTGGGAGTTAAACCAATGCAGTATTGGAAGAATCGAGGAATAAAACAAGGAAACCCTTCATGGTTTTTGGGGGATAACCTCGGTACGACATTAAAAACGGAAAGTTATGCTGATATGGTAGTCAAAGTATATAATGCAGTACCAGGAGTACGGTAAGATAGATATAATCATATTCTTTAAGTATTAAGTCATATTTAAAATAAAGACAATATCTATCTATATAAGGATTCTTACAGCTGTCGCCGCCTTCCTTCTTTCAGCCAGTTCTTTCAGTTCTGCCATTCTCCATCTCTAAGGTCTCGTCTTTCCATGGCCTCGTCCACTTTATCCGTCCATGATCTTCGGGGTCCACCTCTTTTCCTCCTTCTTATTGGGCTCTAATCCGAAATCTTTGCTATCCACCTCCTATGATCTGTTCATCTCACATGTCCATACCAAATTAAATGTTTTTCTTCGATGTATCTGAGTATGTCTTGTTCTACTGCCATTCTGCGTTTTATCTCCTCATTTCTGATGCGATATATTTTTGTTACTCTGCAGCTTCTTTTCATGAATTCCATTTCAGTTGCTGTGATTTTGGACCTGTTTTGTTTATTTATTACCCAATTATCTCCTCCATAGGTCATTATACTGCGTACCAAGGTGTTATAAATTCTCTTCTTTGTATTTCTGGTAATCTGTCTATCCCACAGTACCTCGTTCATTTGTTTATTACATGTTCTTGTCTGTGCTAATCTGCTGGTTATCTCTTGCTCGGTGGTTCCATTTTTTGAGAGTATGAATCCTAAATATTTGAATTTTGCAGTGCCGGTAATTTCCGTATCATCGTCGATTTGAAAGTTTCTCACTGGTTCTTGTTCTGTTGTTAAATATTCGGTCTTTTCTAGGTTTATTTTCGGTCCATTTTTTGTGTATTACTTTGTGTATTACCAGCATATAGCACAAATCTTCTTCATCTTGAGCCGTTACCACTTGGTCATCCGCAAAGCTTAATGTGTACAAGAAGTTGTTCCGGATTGGTATTCCCATCCCTTCACATTTCCTTTTCCATGGTTTTAATATTTGTTCGAGGAATATCTTGAACAGTGTCGGAGATGTAGAGCATCCCTGCAATAAGCTTTTTGTGGTCTTAAATTCATAGTATAATATAATAGTAGTATAATATCGTCGGTAGGTTGACTTTACGGGAAAATTATCAAGGAAAAACTAGAAACTGAAATAATAGGAAAAATTGGAGAAGACCAAGCAGGGTTCACAGTAGGAAAATCATGCCTAGATCATACATACACATTAGAACAACTGATAGAGAAGAAAATGGCAAAAGGTAGACCGGTCCATCTGGCGTTTGTTGATCTAAAGAAAGCATGCGACTCAATACCTAGATTCAAATTATGGGAAGCAATGAATGATCTCGGAATCCAAAAAACACTAATAAAAGCAGTTAAAGCACTTTACAAAGAAAACAAAGTAGCTATTAAAAGTGGAAATAAAGCCTACAATCCATTTAAGACGACAAAAGGACTTTTACAAGGCTGTACACCTTAAGTTTTGCCGACGATCAAGGGAACAACAGGGAACAACAGAAGAAGATATAAACACCAGACTAAGACAAACAAGAAACTGTACAAGACAACTAAATTCAGTGCTGTGGGATAAGAACATTACGATAAAGACAAAAAAGAGAATATATAATACCCTGACAAGAAGTATCCTGACATATGGGTCCGAAAACTGGACAATAAACAAGAGAAATAGAGGTAGAATAAGAGCAGTAGAAATGGAGGAGAAGCTTACAAAAAGAAACAGCATTGAAAACGCAGATATTAAGCGGAGAATGGGAGTGCAATCAGACATAATCGACTATACAGAGGAGAAGAGACTATCCTGGTACGGCCACGTCAGAAGAGCGGACAGAGAACGCTGGATAAACAAAATCACAGAATGGAGCCCGATCGGAAGAAGAAAGAGAGGAAGACCCCGAAGGTCATTCAGAGACGAAATCGACGAGGCTATGGAGAAAAGAACCCTGCGAAATGGAGACTGGAATGACAGGGAAAATTGGAGAAAACAATTGAGTGAAGGAAGACAGTGACAACTGTGAAAATCCTTAGTAGTAGTAGTATTAAATTCATTGGAGTATTTATTGCCGGTTTTAACTCTTACCTTGTTGTTGTTGTAAAGGTTCTTTACGGCTTCTATTAACCTCTGAGTCATTCCGATTTCCTTCATTGTGTTCCATAGTTGTTTTCTGGGAACCGTGTCATATGCATTTTTTAAATCTGTGAATGCCATGTGTACTGGTCTATTTTTTGCCATTTTTTTTCAATTAATTGTTGAAGTGTATATATGTGGTCTATGCAAGATCTTCCTGCCGTGAACCCCGCCTGATTTTCTCCAATTTTATTTGAGACAGATTTTTCCAGTTTTTCTTTCAATATTTTTCCATATAACGTGCCCATACATGCTATTACACTGATGCCTATGTAGTTCTCGCATTTCTTACTGAACCCTCTCGCTTACTGAACATTTCGTGTATAATTATGTGTAGTTTGTCCATTCCGTACTCAATTAGTTCATTAAAGATTCCTCCTGGTCCCCCTGATTTTTTGTTCTTTAAAGTCTTTATGGCATTCTTTATTTCGATTAATGTTATCTCAATCTGTTCTTCATTCTGACTTTGTGTTGTTCATGTTCTGTGTCTGTCTTTATGAAATCTGGACGGTTTTCTGTGAGTAGTTCTTTATAGTAGTCTTCTCACTCTTTTTCTGATATATATTGTATTTGGACCTTTTTGGTTGTTATTTTTTCAGGATTCCATATTTCAGTATTTTCCAGGATTCCAAATTCCTTGTTCCTCCTATGTATTGTTCAGTTCTTCATTCTTTTCTTTTGCCCTAAACACAACATAAAGTATGAAAAATTATATTTGAAAAACTTACATCTTTGATATTCAAAAACTATGATATTTAAGTTATAAAAGCTATTGATTACATGACAACGTAGGGCTGAAGTTGCTATCAACAAGTCCTTACAGACACTTCGTCTTAGGACTAACAACCCCAGTGGAGTTGTACGTGTATAAGTCTTTTGCACATCCCTGTAATTTGATCAGTTCATCTTGTTGGGGAGTTGGGTATCTTCCTCGTAATCTTCCTCGTAATCTTCGGTCTTTTACCTTTTCTTGAATAATACGTATTTCCTTGTTTTCTGTGTCGACTATCATAATATGTCCAAAATGTTTTAATTGTTGAAGATGGACTTTGCTAGAAAGCCATTTGCTGGCCTTTAGTTCTTTTAAAATTAAATTAATTGTCCTGTTGAACGGCATTTGTAACATTTTTCTCCAACAGAACATTTCAGTAGCGTCCATTTTTTTTTCAAATTATTTTCTACCGTACTGTGTTAAATATTGATTTATAGTATCAGCAATCGGTCTGTGGGAAATAAAACTCTATTTGTTTTATGTCTCAATATTTCGTCACGATTTTGTGACTTCTTCTGTAAACAAAGTGAATATTTCAATACTTACAACTAGAAGAGTAACAATTTAAATTTTGCTAACATATCTAGGTAAATGACATTTTTGTTTTTTTTTATTTAGAAAATCGCATCGACCAAATGGCCGTTGGCGAAAAATTAATGGATTACATTCGGTGCAATTACTTTATTACAATTTGGTTTATTAAATATTGTGGACTTATTAATTTCTTTCAAGAAATTCAGGGTATTGTTAAAGTTACAGTCTGCACCTAGAGCTTCTAGAAGTGTTTTTGGTATCTTATTCTTACTTGTTGATTGTAGAGGGGATATTCACATAGTATGTACACTATTGTTAGTGTTGTATTACACGTTTCACATCGCGGCGTTCGCACGTTTTAATTAAAATATCATGCGTTAATCTAGTATGTCCGAGTCTGAGGCGCGTTTCTATTAATTCTTGGCTTCTTGACGTAGGTCACACATTCTATGCTGGGTTTCACTTGTTTTAATTTTGAGTTTGACACATTCCATTTATTTTTCCACGCACATAAGACTGATTTTTTAATATAAGCTTTTATATCCATTGATACCGATGTGTTTACGATTTCGGAAACGTCACCCATTATCGCGTCTTTCGCACTATGGTCAGCAGTTTTGTTGTCTTTTATGTGGGATGGGATCCAGATGAAATTTATCTCATTATGATTTATATAAGCCTGAAGAAGGACTATTTTAATTTTTTTTTGTTGTCGGATGCTTTGTATGGCACTAAGTGAGTCTCTTAAGATAATATATTTGAAGTTTGTTGTCAGAATAATTCGTTCTATGGCGCGATAGAGAGCATACAGTTCAGCTGTATAGATAATACTAACATTAGACAGTTTGAATTTATGGACCTTCTCTGGAGTTACTACAGACGCTCACACACCTTCGGAAGATTTTAAACCATCACTTTTCTAAAATGGGAAATAATTAAATTATGATTAGTGGAGTTTTTATCATATGACGTAAGTTCAAAGTTATATAATATATGTTTTGAATCCAAGGTGGATTATGGTCATATGTGTATGGAAGACATTCAGGTATGATAATATCAAACAGATGTAAATAATCTTTTATTCTTTTATAGAAAGGTTTAACAGAATAGTGATTTGCAATGGGCTTTGGGAAATCATCAGTAAAATAATTTCTATATACAGGATTTTTTGCATTATCCTTCTTTTCTATCATTTAACGACAATTCATTTGCTTCGCAAAATAAACTTTTAATCGGTGTTGTACAAAATTCTCCCAGACATATTCTGAGTGCTGTGTTGTGAATAGTGTCGAGCTTTTTAAGTACTGATTTCGATGTTAAGTCGTAAGCTATAGCCGCGTAGTCTAGCTGTGATCGTATAATAGTTCTGTAGATAATTAACAATGTACTGCTGTCTGAACCCCAATTCATGTGTCCTGGAATATTTAGTAAATTTAATCTTCTGTAACATTTACATGTTAGATTATTGATATGTTCTTTCCAATTCAACTTTTTGTCTTAAGTAACTCCTAGCAATTTTAGCGAATCTTTTTGTTGTAGTGATTGGTTGTATAGCTATAATGCGATTGGTGTACTGACTTTGTTTTTAGAAAATACTATATATTTAGTTTTAGTTGTTGAAAAGATAAATCCAGT